CCAAGTGTTCAAAGTCATATCACGAGCTCGTCTCTGTCAGTGGGGAGTCAAGTTCTGTAACACAAGATCAATATGTACCTTGTGAAACGTGGGTTACGTAATCCATCCACAATTGCAAGAAAGTTAGAACAAAGTAAAAGAATAAAGAATTATTTTAGGGACAAAAGCAAATGGAGCGAAAAAGATACATTCTACTCAAAGAAAATTGTAATGTGAAACTTTTTACGCGGTGAATTAAAATAGTAGATGAAGTAACCCTGAGAGAATCAAGGAAAAGACCTCAAAGATGAGAAGCTCTTGATTATTAAACAAATTCTTATTGTAGGAACCATGGGAAACGTATAGAGAACAGTATGGAGAATATGTATACTGATCTCGGGGTGTAAAGGGTAACATGCACATGAGATATATAATCTGTAAAGAAATGTGATAACTGGAAAAACACATTTGTAACATTTACAAGTTACGACTCGTTTTTAAAGAATTTCTGGTAGTCTTTCATTTTTGACCGGAAAAATTTTGGTGTCCTCCTAGGTCAGAATTTTCCCTTTTCTGTGGCACTTTCTTTAGGCATTTCTATCTTATATACGCTCTCCTTAAATACCAAAACTCTTCTTTTTTTAATCTAGATGTACTGGCGCTTCATAGTTGGAGTTTTAATGCACTTACGTACCAAGTATTAGCTACACCTGAGGTTTATTTGAAATATTTGTAACTTCATGAAGTGTGACCACAGAACGCCCAAGGCGATGTGGATAAATTTGATATTTTGTTACCTTTGAACATCATATTGACTTTGTTTCATTTCTACTCAAGTATTATTTAAATATCGTTCGAAAATGACAAGTGTTTCCTCCTGATCTTTGAAGGTACGAAGTCCTATTGTGTAGCTGACTATTTTTTTTTTTCTTTTTCAACTGTAAAAATTTTTTGCCAATCATATAAATACTTGCTTTTAAATTTGTATTGATTGGAAGAAAAAAATATTCGTCGATGGAAATTTACTTATCAAACCATGTCATCCGAAAAAAAAAAAGATTTTACAACATGAATCCAATTTGTATCATTTAACACAGGAAATTGGATTTCCTTCCGTCAAGCAAGTGAAAATATCGTATCAAATAGTGACTTAAGTATATTTCTATCTATATTAAGAGAATATCATATAATCTGTCTCATAGAAGAGATAAATTGAGGGAGTGGCCAGATGATGTAACAGTGAATTACGTAATGTTCCTGCCGAAATGGTTTTCACCTGACATTTTTTTGTTTGTTTGTTTTTTCACCTTTGGACAGTCTTGACTTTTACCATTTGCACTTTGCATCTGCCAATCAATTGGCCCTCTTGCGGTTGGGTCGAGTTATGGGAAAAGGGAGTGGTAGCAGGTGAAAATTGCAGACCCTTTACTGATGATAGAAAACGGATAAATTGGTACTACTCAATTGAGTTAAAGAATTCGCAGTTTCTGGATTTATACGCTTCAGCTGGTCGCTGTTTTTCACGAATCTCAGAGCCTTTTCTTTCCCTGAGTAGAGAAAAATCAGTATCCAAATGAGAAGAATTGAGGAAAATGGATACAAAGCGTTTGCTTTTGTCTCATTTCTTTGTATCAGCTGTGAATTGTAACTATTTCCCTTTGGATTTCCTTTCGCAGTGGGGTGGGGATAAGGGGGAATTGTGTTATGCCCTGAAACCCAAATATTCGTCACGGGGTTTCTAGTGTTCTTAAAATGTACATTCCTGGTTTAAAGATTTTATACAGAACAACAACTCTTTGAGCTGAAAACGCTTCACGCAACTTAAACACTTACACACTATCAGGATGGGACTGTCCTACCGCGAAACAAAACGTCCCTCACTAAAACTTGTCTCGGAAATCTTCGTGTCGTGACAATGGAATTTGTACAACTTTGGCTCAAAGTTGGCTTTCAGTTCCGTGATATACGACACCATGGCTGCTTTCCGGCTTAGACGAACCTAATTGGTTGACAGAGATCAGGAGAGCAAAGGACAACTGCCCAAGATCACGAGCTCCAACAACGCGTTCATCGATAAAAGTGGTGTACAGACTAGAGCCGCGTCATGCGAAGTCCTCGGACAAGCTTCTCTCTTTTAGTTCCCAGAAATATCCTGTTCAGGCTCCAGTCATTTTAACGTGTATGGACGAGTCATGTTGGTTAAAGGGCACCGTGAGTAAATAAAAACTTGTATTTACTACTGGTATGAGTACATGGAGATCGCCTTCCAGACCGATTTACTAGCGCGACAATGGTGCTGTTTTTATTCTTCGTTGTTTTTCTAGCAGATACCGTTGAAGGTAGGGGATGTAATTGTTGTCTTTTTTAGTGACTTAAACGAGTGCTATTGTCTTCATAGCGAGTAAGCACACTCTGGAGTGAATGATTATTACCTGTATGTTATCCTTGGATTTTATAAACAATGCGGATCCTCACTTTAAGATTCAACCGTTTGCGTCAGCAGTTACTAATTTCTGTTAGAAAAGCAAAAGGTTAAAGGCTCTGCTTTGTTTGAAGCACCCACTCTCCGTATACAGCTTCATAATTCCTTTCAAAAATGAGAAGTTTGTTTAAGTACTATTGCTAGTTACATTGAATGGTTTGCTCGAGGTTTCGCTTTCTATATTAAGAACTGAGCAGGTCACATGGTCCTCCTTGTTGAGAAGACGACGGGAAATTTTCCGGCATCGACCTTCATTGGTTCTAGAGATCTAAAACGTGCAGATTTACTCCACATTTGAATTATTCCTGGGTTATTTTTGTCAATTGATTCGTTAAATAGCATTTAAACGCTTTTTTACGCCCGTATCACACTGAGTGCTGTGTTACCACCAGAGCGAAAAGTCATCATTTATTGAACGGGAAGGGAAGGGGGTCTCAGGAAGTGGAAGAGACCCATTCTGTTTGCCTTTGTTCAGTTTTAACTTTGTGGACTATCTGTAACTGGTACTGTAAATTTAGAAAAATCCACTGAATTTACATCTTGGACTGAGTGTGTTTCCAGATTACTAAACATGTTATCTCTCCTATTCCAACCTACATTTAATTATATTTAATAGGGAGACTATTTATTAAAATGTAAAATATAAATTTTATTGAAGGTGTGAGATCCCCTGAGAGGCCAGTTGTTCCAAATGTCACAGCTATTAGCTCAACTGAAGTGCGCATCACATGGTGTCGAGTGAACTCCAACAAAGTTGAAATAGATCATTATGAGCTGTTCATTGACAGCCAGCTGGAGTACTCTGGGTTAGATGTAATGTACATGGCTAAACGATTAAAGCCCTGGTCATGGTATGAGGTCAAGTTGAGAGCATGCGGCTTCTCTCCTGGTTCATGCTCTCCTTTCTCAATTCCAGCGTTAGTGAAGACGTTAAGAGACAGTAAGTGCAGCATAATCTTTTCAATACTCCTTGTATTCATTTTCAAAGAGGAGGATAAGATCGTAAGGGAAACTTTTTCTGGTCAGTCTAACATGTCCATGATGCAAGCCGCAAGTGATAGCTGAGGCACAGGAAGGAAAAGATAATTATTCACCAGGACCCACATTTAAGAGTCATTTTATCTTGCACATACCTGTAACTAATTGCAGTTTAACACCCAAGATCTCTCAAAATGAAGATAAACTCCAATAGTAACAATGATAACAATAATGATGACAACCACCATACTGGTGACTGTCATGGCATTGTTTGAACCTTTTTGTGTCATACTGATAAAATTGTTGGTCAAATTTATTTAAAATCTTCAAGCAGTGTGCCACTTGAAGTAAGATGAAATATCAACAAACTTTTTTACTCCAAATTTCTTTGAAAATTTTCTTTCCTTTTTCTTAAAATAATGATATACTCCAATAGAAACAATAATGACAATAATGATGACAACCATCATACCAATAACTATGATAGCATTGTGTGAACCTTTCTTATGTTGCTCTGATAAAATTGTTTGTCAAATTTATTTAAAATCTTCTTGAGTAGTTTGCCACCTGAGGTAAGATGAAGTATCAATAAAATATTTCACTCATTCAATTTCCTTTAAATTAATTTTAACAATTTTTTTTGTCTTCCAATTTTTAGGGGACAACAGTACAGTAATACAGTCAGGTGTTACATTGTTCAAAGTCATCTTTGTCCCTACATACATGTTCATCTTAGGAGTAATGGCAGGAGTGTTGGCCCTTTCATTAATTCTGGCATGGAGGTATTGTATGCGAGTTCATTGAACCCCCTATCTCCCAGAACTGATTACGGTGCGACTCCTCTCTATAATATCCTATCATTCACAGCAAACAGGTAATAAAAAATACTCAACCTTATTGGGTAGAAGTTGTTACCTTGATGTAACATCAAATTCTCTCAACTAATTTACAAGGAAATGTGTAGCAGCTAGAGGGGAGAATTAATCACCAGACCCTAAGATTAGGGAGTTAAAAGGTTAATAAAAGAGCTCAATGTATGGAATTGTTTTTTCTTTCCTTTGGGATTGTGAACCAGGAAATGAATTATGGCAAAAAAAATATTCAGCCAGCACTTTGTTTTGCAGATACCTTCAGAGTGTTGATTTGTCAGGAGGATCAGCATTTGAGCTGCCACATTTCCATAAAATTCCAAACAAGGATGACTATGAAACCTTCATTAGACAAAATCTTCCAGACAAAAAGAACAACCCTCAGGAGAGCTTGGAAAACACTATTTATTTGACAAGGGGTTGTCACATTGATGATGAAGGATCTCATTACCTTGAAGTATCCAGTGCTGGCAGGGCTGATGCACAAAGTTGTTTTGTCACACCTTTTACTGCAACTTGTAACACTCAACCATCAGGTCTGTATTTCATGGGGGCTGCACAGGAGAACCAGGTTCCCAATCAAGATTTCACAGTTAAGTTACACAGCCACCAGCTTGAATACTACAAATGCAGCAGTGAAGTGAATTCCAAAGATGAAAAATATACTCAGATTGAAAATCATACCAATGAATTATGTGAAAAACTGCCACAGATTTGCAAGAATAATGGGGAAGTTAAAGACCGCGAAAGAACTAAAAGTTTACCAGATGTCAAAGATACTTTAGTTCCATCTACTTCAACAAAGAAAGCTCAGTCACTTGAAAATTTGGATGCCTCCCTTAGCGGCAACATTTCCCATTCACCTTTACTGACACATTCATCTCCATCAAGTGTACAATCTCAATTTGATGAACAAAAAGCTACAGCAGAAGTTACAAGGAACTCTGGTTTACAACCTCATTACGGACTGGTTGTAGCGATAGACAATAGTAATATTTACATTGGTGCTCAGGAATGTGCGAGCATGGTGAATCCAGGAGATCGCAAGAGACATGTACGAGTCAAGCTACAGAATCTTGTGAGAATTCTTGAAAAAGATAGAACTAAAACAAGAGGCTTTGCTTGTGGATCCAGCCCACCTGCAACAGAACATGTTTGGGAAGTTTACAGGTATAAACATCTGTCCAGAAATGCATGCTGTAACAAAATAGTGAAAATTCATAGTCAATTCTGCCTAGCTGATTTTTTTTTACTAAAATTTGCCAAAAACTTCCAATCCATGAACATTCACTCAGTTTGATGAAATTTTGTCAAACTAAGTGAATGTCACCCTAGTTTTCTGAAGGTTTCACAGTGTTATCAAGTCACCAGATAGGTAGCTGAGGCTAAATCTGTGGGACATAATCCAAGCAACATGTGGAAACTAAGTGCTAACTTGAGTGTCAAATCATTGTAAAGGAATTATATCAACTGAAATAACAATGATAATGATGCTGAAAATAGTGATAAGATTAATGATTTATTTAAACATAAAATAATAATAATAATAATAATAGCAATGAAGACAATGATGACAAGGACATGGTGTAATTCTGAAAAAAAAAAACAGGTTGTTGTTGTGAGGTAATGTTGAATTAGAGTAGTTTTTTTTTTCCTGTAACTCAAGTTATTCAAAAGCTAACTCTTAGGATTAGACTTGTTCTTAAATTATCTTAGATACAAAATAATTTAAACATTTTTTTTTCTGCCAACAGGCGCATGGGATATATTGTTGATCTTGAGGAGAGAAGAGGAAAAGATGAGCAAAGAGTAGATGAAGGACTTCACTTGTGGATCTACAAGGTTAGTAATTCTCCTTACTGTCTGCCATACAGTTGTTGCAATGTTCACTAAGAGAATTTGGTGTTGGATCAACTTATAATCCCTTATTGATATCTTTCTTTATTCTCATCACTTGTCTGCTTGATATTGTATTGATATTGTAAGGAGAAATTCTGTCTTGGTCACTCGCGGGAGTTAAAGGGTTAAACATTTTTAAATTTGATCAATGCTAACGCTGTTTCAAGCAACAAATTTAGAGTCTTAAGAATCAGGAAACAGCAAACCTTGCCAACGTTATTACCACTAATTATTTGTGACTAGGATATTTTCCTCTCATCATATGCTAGACAAAATAGACTACAGTGCTTGAAGGCTTCTAGACTGGTTTTGTAAGAAATTTAGCAATCAAACAAGATGCTCTCTCTCTCTTATTGTTGTGGTTTGAACTAGTAAAACAACACGCAAGACCAGGTGGTATTTGTGAAAGAGACTTGTTGTAAAAAGAGTACTCAAAACTTCTAAAACATTTTCCTAATGGAAGCTATTTAATATCCAGGCCCTTTGTGAGCTGACTCCAGGGATACTGGTATTAGCTACAGGAGATGGAATGAAAGGCAAGTCAGAGTGTGACACCAGTTTCCCCAGATGTGCCATCACTGCTCTAGAGAGGGGATGGAGTGTTGAGGTGTTCTCATGGAAACACAGCATGAGTAGCGAGTGGATTAAACTGGCAAAAAAGTACCCTGAGGCACTGACAATCAACTACTTAGACAAGTAAGAATCATGTAACACCTATGAGTAATGAAATCTTGTAATGCATCTCTAATAAATTACTAGAAAGTCCCTCCTTCCCCCAAACATTATTGCCTAAAATTTGTGACCATTTTGTTAACACCAGGCAGTATTAAAATGGGAAAAGAGGAAAACATAAATGAGAGATGTCAGAAATATTGAAAGAGTAGTGAAGTGTGCCAAGACTTTTGCCACTCCAATTAAATTGGCCCCCTGCATTTTGGAGAAATGTTGATCAGATTCATTTTTCCAACTCAGTTAATTTGATAAAGGTTTCAGTTTTCATCTTTTTAAAATGTTTTCTTTCAACTACTCATTTGTTTATGTCAACAGACATGTCAATTACATCACATTTGTGGATGGAAAATATGGAAGGAAATGTTTGCCTCTTCCAGCATCAGATGCATAATGTCTGCATTAAGAGGAAGCAGAGGAAGAAGAAGGCAAACTTAAAGAGAGCTAATTTACATGGTAAAAATAGAAAGTATAATCTTGCAGCTAAGGGCAGAACTAAATACTGGCCACATGTCTCTCATAGAGCTAAGACTAAGAGCTTGTTAGACAGCAAAATCACAAATAACAACATTTGTTACTCCAAATAAATATTGTAGGTGTTAACTTTTCTTCCCCCTTCCTTGAATTACTGTCACACCCACTCTGTAATAGTGAGATGCATTTATAGAATTGTGATTTAAAATACTGATAGTAAAATCCCAACTTAGACAAAGTGCCTGCATGTGCTAGACGACAGGTACTGCTGTTGTACCACTTTTCAATCTTAACAGGCAAGATCATTTGGATCAATATCAGTATCTGGGCAACTGCCCACCTACCCCTCCCCTAACTCAAGAACAGTCAATTGACGACAAGTTAAGGTTAATGTTGAGTTAGGGGAGGTGGGCAGTTGCCCAGATACTGATATTGATCTGAACATTTTTTTAATCACTTTAAAGTGTAAGTGTACTGAAAGGATTGCACATAGAAGATGTTAATTTTTTATTAATTACATGTAGCTTTAAGTTGACATGTGAAGCAGGATATAAATATGAGAATAAAAGTTCTGAGATTATCTATCAGCATAAAGCTGTTTGATTTTTGTGGTCATTGTTACATTGGTCAAAAGTAGTACAGCAAGTCTCTTAATTTTAGCTGTACATACGGCTGCAGCTGTGTCAGGGTACCCCAACAAGACAGTAGAAACAAACCAACAATATACACACATCTGAACTGTGGGATTGACCAGGCACTTGCTACATGAATTTGCTGTCAATATCTTGAATTTGAAAGAGCAGGATGACAGAATAGGGTGAAAAGTGTGACAGGAAGGATGAATATCAGATCTAAAAGGGGATTTGCAACTCTGTCCACAATGGTTTCCTGCTATGCTCCTTGATCCAAATCCATCCAAGAAGAACCCTTCCAAAAATTATTCCAGCTTCTAAATCATCATGAAAAAATTCTGGTAATGATGAAAAAAAGTTTTTCCTAGGGTCACTCAGAGGTATCAATTAAAGCCAGTTCCTGGCAGTCTGCTGCCTGCAAGACCTCTTACTGCCATCAGTCTAGCAAGCAAGCCCTTGTGTTTGGGTATCACTTAACGGCACAGCTGCTTATAAAAACCATTGACAGTTCTTTATGAAAAAGTTGTTGATATCACTGTCACTCCAGTCAATACGACAAAAATAACAGTTGCTCATTCTCCAAATTCATTAAATTAATTGTTATTTCCTCATTTATTTCCTCAGATTTCCTGAGGGACAAAATATACTATGTGTAAGGATTCTGTGTACAATTCCTCAACTACATGGAATACTGAGATCAGAAACTTTCTTACAAAGTAATTTAGTCTTATAGATAAAGGATTCATCTTGTAAGAAACATCGAAGATGCAGAGTTGACCCACATTTCAAACTTAAAATAACAACTTGACTCAAATAACAAAAATTAAAATGGAATTCCTCAGATTTCAGTTATTGAAATAGCAATGTATAGTACAGCAGTTTCTCTGAGGAATTGTTAATCAAAGCATGAGGGTTCAACCACTAGTGTAATGTTTTAACTATTGGAAATATTAATAATATTAATTAGAACTTTAGCTAGTTACTGAGTTGCCTTGGACTTTTTAGCTTTGCTTTTTTCTGTCCTCTTGTCTCTTTTCTTTAGATTGTCCATATTAGCTTTCAACACATTCGCATATGCCTTCAAAAGAAAAAAAATTACATTATGATGTGATATGAAACACAAATGATTAGCTATGTCAGAAGTGGTTTTAGTATGATCCATGTGAACAAAAGAACATCATATGGTTTGAAATTTTATCCAACTCACCATTTGAAACCTATTTACATCTTTTGAATTTACCTGTGAAGTTACAACACAATGCATTTGTTAGACATGGTCTAAGGTAGCATATATATTAATAACCCTTTAACTCCCACAAGAGATCAAGACAGAATTTCTCCTTACAATATCGATACAGTTCAAGCAGGCAAGTAATGAGAATGAAGAGAACTATCAATTAGATGATTATCAGTTGATCCAGTAACAAATTCTCTGAATGAAAATCATAATACAGTACAGCAGTCAGAAAGGAGAATTACTAATGAGATCTTGGGAATGAAAGGATTAACCCTTTAACTTCCAGATCAAATTTATAAGTCTCTTTCTGTTAACTATACAATTCTTATAATGTTAGTTCAGAGAATTTATTGGATCAACTAATTATCCCCAAATTGATATTGTGCTTTATTCTCATCACTTATCTGGTTGATATTGTATTGATATTGTTAGGAGAAATTCTGTCTCAGTCACTCATGGGAGTCACTTTCACCCTCTTCACTCTCTCTGCCCAGGATTTTCAATAGACACAAGTGACCTGTTGTGGAAAGCTGACAAAATGCCCACAATGGACTGGTACCCATCCAAGAGGGAGTAGTAATACTCCAAGTTGCTTCATGCTAAGGAAACTCGGATAAGCTCTTGCTGGTTGGGACACTTGGCTTGAGCACGGACTTTACCTACAGTGTTATTATACCCAAGTACACAACAAAATAATTCAGACATTTTTATCATAATTCCTGGCTTTACACCAACAACCAGGCTGGTGTATCTCCAAGGGAGAGTTTGTAGAATGCTCTATATAGCTCCCACCCACTTTTATGAAGGAAAAGTTAAAGAAATAAACATCTGATGGGCATGCTTGATGGTGAGGGCATGGCTAAACAAAATGTATAGCACTGCAAGATGCTAGCTGGATGATTTTAGGAAGAAAACAATAGTCACAGACAAACATGAAGAGTAAGATGTATATTGACTGTGTTATAATGAGCTGAACAGGAAAATATCTGCCTCTATCTCATTCACATGGTATAGGGAGTGAAAGAATTAATAAATATGTCTTTACTTACCACTGTACTGAGCTTCCTTTTTCCATTTGTTGCTCTAAATAAACATCTACTCTCTCCTTCTTGTTCAACTGCTGTCAACTTTTGAAGCTTTTTGCCTCCACGTGGTTTTGGTTTTGGTTTGGTTTGTCCAAAGTCTTTTTAAAATACACACATGTAAATAAATAAATAAATGTGTCAACTTCAAAAGGAGTTATTTTGACCTAAAAACATTACATTACAGATTGAAGCTACTAAGCAGTACTTTGATGTGTTTTTTTTTAACATGCTGAATGTGACCTTTCAGATAAAAGCTACTGCACCATACCTTTGTGTGGTACTGTTTACTACACTGTACAGGATAGGCATACCTTTGTGTATTACTATTAAAGTGAAGTCATTTCATGCGATCATTTTCATTGTGCTGTACAAGGCCATTTGAACTTTATGCAGTTCTTTGATGGTAGTGTTTATTCTGTAGTAAAAGGTGGTTCTAACTTTAAAGTCAGTGAAGGTAATAATACAAAGCCAGTTTATCTCCCAATGATATATGTTTTACTTAGCTATTATACAGTATTCCGTTACATGATGGAGACGAAAACAGCTTTTAAGTACTTGATAGGTAGTCTACGCTTGGCTTAACTCATTAAGTTACATTTACAGCATTTTTTTTAAAACTAAGTATCATCATACGCAGTGGAACTTCTTTACACCAAAAGGAAACCTTGATTACCGCACAAAACCAACAGAAACCCTAACTTACATCTTTTCATTGTGATATTCACTGCACCCGACGATCTCGTCTTTTGGAGAAGTAATGTGAGCTGGGTGAGGAACTAAAACAGGAAAAATATTCTTATGATATACCTAATATATTTAAGACAGAAATAACCATTCAAAACTGTCAAAAGAGCAAATCTTACCCCATCGTTGTCTAATAAAACCATGCTATAGTTCTTTTCTCTCACATGTGTGAATCAGAGCTTAGTGACCACGTCTTCCTTTTGCGAACCATTCTGATGTGTTGCCGCAGCCCTTTCACGGGCTCTGTTACACTGGATCAAATCTTCATCTGAGCACTCAGTCTACTAGTGACTCAAGCGAGATATCAGCTGTCCAGAATGAGCTCTTTCCATTTTACAAAGGTCCCACCAGATGACCAGATGTACACAGATATCAAGTCACTCAATAAGTTTGAGGAAAAGCCGTTTTGTCAGCTGTTAGACATCGTGTTTTCGTTTCTTGTCTCACCGAAGGAAGGTTCAAGATTCATGTCCCAAATTGCAGAATTCGCTGAAGAACATGGACTGGGAACTAATGCGTTGAAAAATGTCGTCAAAAGTTTGCTTAGCTTCTTCAAGAGTGCATTAAAAAGTAATTTAACACCGGCTCAAGTGAAAGAAGACCTGGAACATCTCGGTAAGCTTAGGAAAATAGGATAGGAAAGTTTTGCTGGTATCCCCTCCCCCTACTCCCTTAAAATAGAGAGTACGAGGGGGGCTGGGGTAGGGTAACTGTCAAAGGCGTGTGGAACATTCATAGGCGATCCCGAAAAGTATCAAAATCTATGTTTGGCATGAAGTACTAAAAGTTGCTTATCTTTGGAGTTATTTAGTGTTAACTAGAAAAGTTTTGTGGAACTCAGTGCTGATAGTGTACATTAATTAGCATTGTTGAATACATTTCTGTGGTACAGCCATCTGTTGGGGAAATATACTAAAACTGGTAAGGAGTGTTACACAGCCTTTGATATCCCAGCTAAACTTTGCCTTAATCATATTGAGCCACATGAGACTTTTAGATTATTTCAAGGTAAAACACTAGCTGATGCAGTTGATCATTTCCTATCACCTATTTGTTTGCTGAAGCATTGAAATTATGGAGGTAACTTGTATTTCTGGGAGCCAACAGATTCAGGAGCTAACTTGTAACATGTAAGAGATTGCCTATAAAAATAAATGGATGCAGCCTTACGTTGTTGGAATATTTTTTTACAGGTTTGTCTGGAGAGAATTCTCCTCACATCTCAGAGCGATGGAAGGCAAACCTTGTTGCCCTGTCACGCTCTGTTGTTGGTCAAACATTCATGGTGAATGAACTTGTCGACATGGAATGGAAGTTTGGGGTTACAGCTGGAAGTAGTGACTTAAAAGTTGTGGGACAAACATTTTTACAGTTGAAGATGGTGGTGGATCGTGGTGGTGCACAAGAAGATGTTTTTATGGAAATGACTTTGCCACAGTTCTATTCTTTCTTGCATGAGATGGAGAAAGCTAAGTCTGCCCTTGAATATTTTAGTTGAGATGATTAATTTTGTGTTTGTATAACCTTTTAGCTCCTAAGAGTGATCAGCTTTTAAATTCTCCATGCTGAATGTTATGAACATTGGAAAATGATTGCCAATTGACAAAGCTATTGATTTTTTGACCTGAACAAAACTTCTTGACACAACTTTGGGAAATGTGCAAAGAACAGAATGGAGAACTTGTATACTGATGGTAGGGTATAAAGGATGTAACCCTTTGACCCCTCAGAGTGACCAGCTTTTAATTTCTCCTTTCCTTATCACCCCTAAATTAAACATTAAGTTCATGAGACTGAAAGAAATGACCACCAACTCTCCTTATCAGCGCCTCAGGAAATGTATAGAGAACAATATGGAGAATTTGCATACTGATGTTAGGGTGTGAAGGATTTAAAAGTGTAGAGTGTTTGTTCTGTGGTTCAATTTTTCTGTTGTTACAATCTGGTTTCTTTTTTATAATATGGTGTACATGTACTTGTTCAGGTCTGTCCAAAAATCAATGTAGAAGGAACAAAAGAGATAATTTGTGCTAAGGATGAAAATTGATAGTGACAAACTGTGAAAGAAGCTTTAATTTCTGAATCATATGTAATATGAAACATTCTAAAACTTAACTATAAAAAGGTGTATAGGTACATGCTGGATCACGAACATCAGGTGCTACCATGATTTTCTATAGATCATGACTTAACCCTTTAACTTCCAGTAGTGATTAAGAAGTAACTTCTCCCTACAATATCCATCCACTATCCAGTAAACAGGTAATGAGAGTACTCAATTGTATCAGGTAGAAGTTAGTTGTTATCTTGATCTAACACCAAATTCTCGTAACCTATTTACAAGGAAATGTGTAGCAGCTAGAGAGGAGAATTAACAATCAGATCTTGAGAGTTAAAGGGTTAAAGGTCTTCATACATTGTACATGTAGTTGATAAGAATGACGCACTTTGCACTATGGTATAGCAAAAACTGAATTTCTTGTGTAATGTCTTTAACTCTTTAACTCCCAAGATCTCATTGATAATTCTCCTTACTGTCTGCCATACAGTTCTTGTAATGTTAGTTTGGAGAATTTTCTATTGGGTTAATTTATAATCCCTTAATCAATATTTGTCTTTATTCTCATCACTTTTGTGCTTGATATTGTATTGATATTGTGGGGAGAAATTCTGTCTTGGTCATTCATGGGAGATAAAGGTTTTAAAAAATTGGCTCTGAAAGTCCTTGAGCTTATTCCTTCTACTTATAGAAAGGTTACAATACTAACACTAAAGTGAAGGCCAGAGTCTATTAAGATTATTGTAGCAGATAAGCTCATGGTGTGTGCCTAGAACTGTATATTTACATTGTGTATTCTTGTTATTTCTGTCACCTTCATAGCTTGCAGCGTTAAGATTTATACAATAACAATAAAGATTTATCATTTTTCTCACAATGTAATCACTTCCCACATGGATGGTAATTTCACCTGCAAATGGTGACAAATGCTAACTGTCAAAAGCCCATTTTTTATCCTTATGAAGCATGGTCCAGAACACCATTTTTATAACATATTGCAGAAACATGGTACCTTCTGTTGTCACAGATTGTGCTTTCACTTCTCAAAAACTTTTTTTATTCTTTGATGTCCTAACTTTGCCTACTTCATATTTTTGTCCAGCATTATTTATTTTCCTTCCTGTTGGAGTTCAGTAGCTGCCTTCGTTCTTCTCTGTGTCTGGCAGCAATTTTATTGTACTGCCTACGAGTGTTGCTAAAAAATTCTGTCATTAGTTTGTTTGTTTCTTGAATAAACATGTGTCTCCTGTTGTTATTCCTTCTGGTTTCATCATCTGCTACTGTAAATGAAGTAACATAACATTTAAATTTTGTTTGGTTTTTTCAAACCAAAGCTTGTGCCTAGCTGTCAGAACTAACAGGGAGAAGCCCCCTATAGCTGAAATGACTCAATTGGGAGGTCTGGGTTTGAGCCCTGTTTTGTTTTTGGACCAATGACTTTACTCCCACAGTGCATTTCTCTCTAAAGGTTGTAAGCAGATCACAGCAAACTGTCAAAGCAACCAGATGACATACTATGAAGACTTAATTTATGTTATAATAAAGTTTGAGTCTTTTTTATAAAACAAATAAAGAAGCCATGACTGTGCTCTGTTCTGTTGTAAAGAACCTAAGAAGCCACCAGAGCACTCAAGAAATGGGGAGAACACTTAACTATTTCTCATGTTTCTCCCTACACTTCTTACTTGCTCTAGCCACTTCCTGCATGCTTAACCACAGAGCATAGCACAGTCAAGGATTCTCTATTTGTTAATGAAAGTTCCTCCTTTTCACTTCTGGGTTTTTAAAAAAAGGAATTCCTCTTTTAAGTGCCACTACTTTCTTAAGCACAAAGGCAATGAGACAAAAATGGAATATAATGTGAAGGTCATGTGACAAAAATGGAATTTCACATAACAACGATAATTACTTCAAGTAAAAAGATTGTGAGACAAAAATGGAATGTAATGTGAAGGTCGTGACAAAAATGGAATTTCTCATAACAATGCCATTACTTTTTCAAGTAAAAGGTTTTTACACAAAAATGGAATTTAATGTGGAGATCATGTAACAAAAATGGAATTTCAAGCAAAAAGGTAACAATAAGAAACAAAACTATCAACTAAGGGATATTGTTTAATTTAATAACTAATTCTCAGGGTTAAAATTATTTTGGTAGTAAATGAGCAAATAGCAATTTTTTAAGGTTACTGTACCTCGTTTCATGCGATGCTTCATCCATCTGCAGAAATCAAAAATACCTCCACATATAATGGCAGTAGCCACAATTGCTGACAACACAATCACATTGAATCTGTAGGTGATCTCGGAACTGTCAAACATTCCTGTTGCCATTTGTTCTGCTAATGAAGTTTCAGCTTGCTAAATGAAAATAATTCAACAAAAAATTATCCCCCTTCTATGTTGAGATGTAATTATACCTGATTCATAAGTGGTTTCAAAATAGGGTGAAATTCATGGGCAACTTAGGATACAAAACTCTTTGTAGGATAAAGATGTTTTGTGTAGTTATACACAAGACTTATTATAAAAACTCTGATTTGTCGAGAGCATTTAGTCAATATATAATGGTGTGTGAAGTTGACATGATAACCCAATATCTGCAGAAGATATTGGGTAATCATGTTGAGTTCAAAGTCTGCCTAGTTTCCAAGCCTGTCGTCCATGTAGTGTTCTCAAACTTTTGCAAACTCAGAGAGGTATCTCCTTATGCAAACTGTTTTAAAAATGTATGATAAAACAAATATTGATTTCGGTTTTGGCATGATATCATGAATTATCAAATCTTATGTCTGTGTTATCCGCCTCAGCCTTCAGCTTCAGCAGATAACTCAGACCTCTGCCTTGATGATTTATGATATCATACTCAACCTCATCCAATAATTTCTTAATATTATGCATTCATACTTGTAAAGTGGCTGTGTACTTCTCTACAAGGTGTGCTAACATTGATTTTTCATTCTTGAGATAGTCAAGGAAGCAGTGCTGCAATCTGACTGAGTTCCCCCCCAAAACAATGCCAAACGATGAACGGTAGTCAATAAGCTACGGAGAGAAAAAAATATATCCTTAATTGTTCGCTTGTGATGAGAAGTCAGTTGTCAAATTAGCCTTGTCTTAGAGATCGCCATGTATATTACAATAGTATGATTTGTTTTTGCATCCTGCAAAATTGTCGTCAAGGTTGAGAGAGACTGCTTTGTATTAGTTTGTTAAGGGGGGGGGAAGGCTGAATAACCCAGAAGAGAGCAAAGACAGGCTACAAATAGCCAACTTGAGGATATAGAGACTAAATTCTGGGAGTTTACATTTTATAGGACCATAAATGAAATCAACTTGGTGCGACTTGGGAGAGGGGGGGAAGCCTGGATTCCATATATTCGCCTCATGTCTCAGGCTATGTAGTTCCGTGAGAGTTCGAGATTAGGCTTGTAGTCAATCATAACGAAAAGTGCATTTGTGGTGTGTGTTTACCTTGTAAATTTGTAATGATTCATCTTGAAACAAATCAAGTCTTTCAGCTACTACGTATGTGTCAATTAAGGCCCCCTCCACCACTCCTTTCAATAGATCTTCTCTTATCTCCTCAAGATTGGTGTAGTTACGAGCTGTGGAAGGAAGTGTCTTTTCAGTTAGTGGAAATTAAATTATTTTTGCTGCTACCACACATGTGCAGATAAACGTGCACGTTATAGAGGAAGGTTCTTTGAACTTATCCCACCTCAGTGATTCAGGAATTCTTCAAAATTAAATTTATATCTCGTTGACGACACTGTTAGTTACATTTGGTATTTCACTTAAGCCTTACTTAAGTTGCTTGTGACGAAAACTTTTAAACCATGGAAGAATTCTTTGATTTCAGTATCTAAGTACATGAATGGTAGTATCTCAATTGAAGTCTAAAATTATGATAGGCTTTTCTATCTCTTTTAGGAGAACATCTTGCATATAGAAGACTTATTGAGTTGGATACAGTAGATAAACGATAGAATCTGTATGAGCAAACTAACCATTGTTGACTTGAGCATTTCTTCTCAATGCAAGATTATACTCAGGGGAGTCGCGTAGAACGGCCACCTGGGAACAGATGTTGGCAAGAAATATGAGTCATTAGTGGCCAAAAAGTGAGGTAAAGTTAGCCATCTTGATTAGAAAACCTTGGTTTCAAGACTCGAGAGACTACACTAAAGAATTGCGCTTTGTTGCAAGCTCAGTTTACGTTACTTTTCGTATGTTTTTGTCCTTCGTTTCAATTGTCTTTTGAAAGTACAATTGCTTTGTTTTGCCTTGCTATTGCAGTGAGAACTTCTATAAAAACTGCAAACACGAAAAGTCGCCATTCCCAAAACAATTCTGTTGCCAAATGTTCATGCCACTCGGTCTAATAATTTCTTACCTTCAATCCATAAAGTTTGATATTACTGTTATCAACAGTGGTTACAGTCAGTCCTGCTATTAAACAGCTGGACAGTAAAGAGAACACAACACACCCCGCAATCATCCAAACCATAGCTAACCATTTAGCCACAAACGAACGGGGTGTCTTGTCACCATATCTACAAGCCACAAAGGACAACCTATCAATAAATGTAACTATTTCTTTCACCTGGCAATGAGCGAGACAAAAATTTCCTGTTCTTGGTCTTACCCTACTGTTGAACAAGTGACGAACGCCCACCATGTGCCTTCCCAGAATCCTTTTAGGAACGAAGGTGAAAGTTCTGAGTTCTCGGAACAGTCCTGAAATCAATTTACGACGTGAAATCAGTTCAAACGTGAAGAGCAATTGATTAGTTTTTATTGCAAGGCAGGGTAGTCCTAGGGTCAATCCGAACGTTCCGAGCGGTTTTGACTTGGTCGGGATTTTTCCATACGGACTGTTTCCACGGAAAAAATCATAAGCCGTGTATTTTTGTTCGCTAAAGCTGGCAAATTCAAAATAAACAAGTTTCATCCGAGTGCCATATAATAAACCACTCATCAACCTCGCTTGCTCGAGCCGTATTAAGGAATGTTCCCCTCGGTTGTTTTAATACGGACCTCGCTTTCTTCGCTCCGTACTGCCACAACCTCGGGCAAATATTCCCCAGTACGGCTCTTGCGCTCGATTGGTGAGAAGTTAATCTTCACACGGACAGAGGCACAAAATGAAGGCAGACGCAGGGCAGAGGAACGTTGACATTTTCCCCCGCTGCGCGCTCGTAAACACGAACTTGCTCCGCGTTTCCTCTCCTAGCTAATGATGATAAAAATAAGAATGACAATTACAGTGAAGAAATGTGATAATGTAACACAATAAAAACAAGACGACTATGGAATACTAAAAGAATGATGGAAATGGTTATATTAGAGGTGCTTGGTAGTGATGAATCTTTATTATCACGAGATAGCGAACCAATCAGATTGCTTAACTCTAATCGCTGTGTTAGTTTAATTTACAGTGATTAAAGGTTAAGTACTTCCTATCGGTATTTCTCTCACCGTTATCCAATATAAAAGTCCAGACGATAAGACAAACACAAAAACCAAAGCAGCAAGCGGCCAGCATTTAACTAATGCATTTGTTATCGGTGCGTTCGGTTTCTTATATCGGACAATGAAGGCCGCCCCAGGGGACTCCACCACGGGAACATACTTGAACGTTCCTGAATACGTCCGCTGATCAGACGAACCATGCACTGGAAAATGCAAATCTGTCACGTGATCAATGGCGTCTATCATGTTGTGTTCTGTAGGCTTCTTTGCAAAGTTCTGATCGCCATCTGAGTTGTAATCGACGAAAGAAGTCCCATGTCCACTTGTACAATTTGCACAACACTGGAAAACCATCTGGTCCAAGATGGCCATGAAAATTCCGCTCATATTATTGGCAGAGGGGCTGATGACGTAAGGTGGATTCAACCAATAGTTTGCAGTCAATCGCTTTTCACATCGACATGTCTCTAAGAAGAACAGCAATGATAATTTGTTTCGGGTAAAATTGAAGGCTCATCAGGTTTTTCTAAAATATAGTGGGCAAAAAATTTGCTTCCTTAAAAAAAAAGAAAAAACTTGCGAGAGAGAAAAAAAAAGAGTTGCGAATTGTTTGATAAGCCACTGGCTACCTCTAGGATTGGAGAGAATTAGAAAATATACGGCTTTTAACAAATTTCTCACCGGTTTAATAACCCACGCATGACAGAGATTCCTAGGAACGACACGCTTACCATTTCTGAGCCCACGAACGCTATTTCGCTTTCGGAGAAAAGAACCTGGGAACGGCTTGAGTTATTTTCTTTAGGATATTTACCCTCATATTTGGCCGTGCTAAATTTTCCCTCTCCGTACTTTGTGAGTCCGGCCACTCTAATGGCATAAGTCGCAAAACTCAACACACCATCTAAGACCATGAAGTGAGTGTCTGCTCTGACGCTCTTCGTCTTTGCTACCGCGTCTGTAACTTTGACGCCGCCAATGCTGACCTCCATGTACGACACCACATAGCCTTTAAGTTCTCCATTGACCTCGTCATCCGGAATATTCGTCCATCGAATGAATAAGTGGTTTGTACTGGTGAGACCCAGGCTGGTGATATTTCTTGGGGGAGCACTGGGGACTAAATGGCAAGGATGGAAAGTGTCTTGTGGTTAAAGGGGCAAACTCGTGACAATTTTGATGATTTGGAGCTTCTTCTTCAAGATCATCGCCATTAAATAGGATGCAACGAATAAATCATTTTTGTTAGCGCAGACAGACAATAAAAAACGAAGAAAATACCAGAAAAGAACAAGGATGGCCTTTTTTTTTTGCAATCATTGGGCCAAGAGGAGTTAGTAGCTTCTCCTTGCAAGGAGATGCGGTAACGCCAATTACTGGGGAGCGAAATAATCCAACTCCTCAGATGTTACCGACCCTGTGACACAAAAAAGAAGCGTATCTGGGACTCAGGGAACCCGGTGGAATGTTTTATGAATAAACTCTTTTATTCTTAGAAAATTCTGATCTAAAAGAGAATTCACTCTCTTTCCTCGTTGACCAAGTGATGTCTGGGAAGTCCGGGAAAGGTAAAAGAGAAGGAGGTGGGGTCAAAGTTCAGTCGAGCTGGGAAGTCCGTGTGACCACAGTTTGCTGGAAGAATTTAACTCACCGCTTTCTAGTGTTGTAATAATAACAGGATGTGATGGATTTCCTTCGCTTTGGTCACTGGAAGCCCTGACTATTACTTCGTAAGACAAGCCAGGTCTCATCCCGGATAGAACCAATGATCGTTTGTCAATTCCATACACGGTTACAACACTCCAGTCTCCCACTCTGCCAACCACTCGATACTGGACCTTGAAACCCTGGTACAGTACATCATCATTTGGGTTGATCATGAACGACCATCTCAGCGAAATTAAATCGGATAACACCAGCAGAGCTTGAATATTCTCTGGTCTTTCCTGAGACTCTGTAACAAAGATAATGGTGTAAAGCTGGCGTAATAAGAAGAAAGATTTTTTCTATCCACAGTAACCTTAAGTTTATGAATTTTTTTTCGGTCGATCGTAGAGCTCAGTTCGTTTGGAATTTTTACGACGCAAATCGCAAAGTGACTCGAAGAAAAAATAAAAAACCTGCAAACTGGCTAAAAGGCGGGAAACGTGGGTGATATGATTGAGTCGCCAGTGGTGAACAGAGAGGCGCACTCTTTTTGGATTTATCACATATGAGGCAAAATTACTGAATGATGACTAGCTGAGACAGGGCGGCACTTTTTTAAACCACGAGGGTACTTTCGGTTATCAAGACAGCATGATTACTTGATGCTAATTGAGCCTTTTTTGCTGTTTGAGAAAATACACGAGAAATTAATCCTTAATTGCCCTCGGGCCCATGCGATTACATATAAAAATCTTATGGAAGATCAAAATAAACCGATTCAGTCGTTAAGGTGTACTGACACTCAAAGAAAAAAGGTACTCTAAGCGGATTAAACTGAAACAGAGTGTGTAACAAAATCCTGTTAAAGGCATGCGCTCATTGCCATTGTTCAACTTTGATAGTGAAAGTCACTCACCGATCTCCTTTGTAATGAACTGCACAGGCTCAGAAGGAACACTGTCTCTGCCATTCGAGGTTAAAACCATTATGTTAACTTGGTACGTTGTGAGTGGCGTTAGATTTTGAAGAAATGCGGAAGTAGTCCCAGCATCCGGGATCTCCAGCTGCAAACGGCTTGCTCCACTCGTGTACGTCATTCTGAAGCCGGTGACAAAGCCAGAATTTGCGCATGCTCCGTTATAAACCCATTCGATCGTGACATTAGTGGCAGTGACGTCGTGAACACTAGGCTGTTGGGGAGGTTGACAAGGAGCTGAAGAAGAAAAGATGGGAAGGAAGAGAAGAAACTCTTTATCTAAACATACATTCGAAACTCAGTAGTAAAGCACTGGAATAAACCTTCTCCAAAATAGACTAAGGAGCTAAAAAAAACTTGGTCAATGAACAATCTCGCGCGATTGTTCAAATGATGTAAATTCTACTCACTTATCTCTTCTGTGATGAACTGCCTAGGCTCAGAAGGAACACTGTCTTTGCCATTTGAAGTTAAAACCATTATCTGAACTATATATGTTGTGACTGGCGTTAAGTTTTGAAGAGATACGGAGGTAGATCTCGGACCCGGGATCTCCAACTGCGAGCTATTCGTACCACTCGTGTACGTCACTCTGTAGCCAGTGACAAAGCCAGCATTTACGCATACTCCGTCATAAACCCATTCAATAGAGGCGTTGGTATCAGTGACATCTCGTACAATAAGCCGTTGGGGAGGAGGACAAGGAACTGGGAAGGAAAAGTAAGAATACATTATCTATACAAACACGATCAGAAATATCAAACAGCGAAGAAATGTTTTGTAATAAAGAAACTTAAATAACCTATTTTCACCATTGGAGCCAAAAGCCCGTAATTATTGCTACCAGAGAGAAACTTCGAGACATCGAATATCAATTTGAGTTTTCCAGTGGCAGACTTCGCTAACAAACTGGGACTCTCTCGAACTTTTCAGTGAGATTAAATCGAAGAACAAAAGAGGCACTTGAAGATCCTCTTGCACTTCTGGGGGAAAATGCAAGGATTGTGATACTTCTCCTGATGTGACACGAAGAAACTCTCATGTTCTATAGACCTAACCTTAAAGTTGATAAATTTCTATAGGTCATTACAAAATTTATTTCGATTGAATTTTGTATAAATCAAATTTCAACGTAATTCAAGGAAAAGGCAAGCAAAATGGCTGAAGCACGGGTGAACGCTGGTGATCAAGGTGTGATTAGTCCAGAAAGTAGCGCACGTTTTTTAGACAAATCACAAAAACGCGTATTATAAAACAAACACAAACCAGGATTCTTTGAACACTCAGTAAAAAGGCGCTTCAAATGAACTTAGAACAAAAGTGAGTAACAAAGTTAAGGGTGCAACTTCTACTCACTGATCTCTATGGTAATGAACTTTACAGGCTCAAAAGAAACACTGTCCTTGTCAAAATAGCCTAAGGAGCTAAAAGCCCAGTTGAAGAACGCTTTAATTGCGATTGTTTAAAGGGTGCAAATCTACTTACTGATCTCTTTTGTGTTGAACTGCACAAGCTCAGATGGAACACTGTCTTTGTTATTTAAAGTTAACACCATTATTTCAACTTGGTATGTTGTGTTTGGCGTTAGATTTTGAAGAGATACGGAAGTAGACATCGCATCCGGGATCTCCAGCTGCGAACGGTTCACGCTACTCGAGTACGTCACTCTATAGCCAGTAACAAAGCCAGCATTTGCGCATGCTCCGTCATAAAGCCATTCAATATAGGCATTGGTAGCAGTGACGTTTCGTACAACAGGCTGCCGCGGAGGTGGACAAGGAGCTTGAATGGAAGAGAAGAATTACATTATCTAAGCATACATTCGACACTTAGTAATAAAGCACTGGAATAAACCTTCACCAAAATAAACTGAGGAACCAAAATCCTCGGTAAAGAACGCTCTCATTGCGATTCTTCAAAGAGTGCAAAATCTACTCACTGCTCTCTTTAGTGA